GGGGGGGGGGGGGTTGGAAGGAAGGCATCTCAGGCACTCCTTGCTCCACTGACCTCAAACTGCTTTGTTAGCCTTATCTTACACCCTCATGAAGCACTCAAATTTCATATATTTTAAAGCACATTAGTGCTTAGACTCAATCTACAGAAAAGGATTCTCTCACTTATCTGTAGTAGTGCCTGCGATTTCCTTTGTCTTAAGAAGTGGGTATCAGAGGATGTTGCGTGTAACCTGTGTCTCTCGACTTGATTATTCCCTATGCACCACAAAGCTTAAATGAACCAAACTATTTCCCCTAGGATCCACTATCAGCATCTAAACTGCTTCAGAGGCTATTTTTCATGACCAGCATTAGGGTTAAGGTGCCCCAAAAGTTGCTGTGCTTTTCCTCCATTGACATTCTTGCTGTCTCCGCTGCATTGTTATGACAAGTAGGCCACAAAGAACGTATTCACAAGCAAATGGGTGGTGGGGTGAGATATGGCCAGGTTGAGTAGTCCAGCAACTGGCTCCCTATGCCACTTTAAGCTAGGCAGTTGCTCCTTTTGGAGGCACATACTGAGTGTTGATGGAGCCTGGGAGTTCCTGCTCTAGTTCCTTCAGCTGTTTTGTCTAACACTGGAGAATGTTTCCAAAACACACAACCACCACAGTAAAATGCAGTCTACTTTATTCACTAATTATATACAGGAGGATCTTGATACATGCACCAGCATTGAACAAGTTGACTTCACAAACAATAAAAGGCAAATTAAATGGTCCACTGTAGCCAAAACCATACGTCCTGAAGTACAGCTGGAATCAGCTAGAGATCAAACTAAAAAGGCACTAGCACAATTGATTCCTAAAAGGCACTTGGATAAAATAGCAAAAGCCAGTTTCTTTGTAGTGGATCGGCAGAGCCTGAATGCTTTGTGCAATTCTTCCAAGGTTGCAATCAAGAGATGAACTTGTTTGAAAACTAAAAACACTTAGATCTAGGACATCACACATTCTTTGCATATTGCATACATGTTTCATTTAAGCGCAAATTAAAATTTTAGTAATCACTGGGTTCTTACCTCCCTTCCAACCCCGCACAAAGAAAAGCTGCAAATTAGCAACAGGACTGCCTCAAGTACACCTGTCAAAAAACTCCAGCCAGCTGTCATTAGAAGTTGCCATGAGGGCAGATGTACTTCACCAGACAACTGGCAAACTGAACAGCAGCCTAGTCAGGGAACACTGTAATACATCAGTCCCCCCTTGATACACCAGCTGTAACACCAAGATGTACGTGCCCTTTTCAACTGACTTTATAAACAGACCACTAGGTTTTTAATTAACACACAATGACAAAGGAAAAAAAACATGGAGCCCAGTTATGGCTCGAAGAAAACCACAGAGGTAATAGGTAGCCCTTTTAGCAAGTGGGATGTAGTGATAAAAGGTCCTGGCTATGATTAGACAATTTGTGAAGCATGTAAGTGATGTGAAAGGATTCCAGCTGGAAAATCCAGTGCGGATGGTGAGGAACTCTCAGCTGGTTAAGTGCCAAGGGAATAGGGCTGCAGTCGAGAGCACTGTGAGAGCAGGTGACAATCACATGCATGAGGGATCTTTAGTTATTACCTCTTTTCTTCAGATCCCTACCTGGGCCTGACTAGCACCAGAACATCCTTTATGTTCCACCTCACATGCTGGAGGCACTGCCAGCTCTGAGCTGGCTTTTCCACCCCAAGCCTCTGCTCCCAATACAAAAAGTCTCCCCGTACCATCTGCCAGCCAGAGGGAGTGGAGAAGCACCTGTAGGGAGGTGAGTTACATTGGGAGAGCAGCAGGCAGAAGAGACTGGTTCTCAAGGAAAGAATAAAGAACAGGACTCCAGAGACTCCACATTTGATCTTCCTCCCAGCAATCAGGAACACTCCCCAGTACTGCAGCTCTCTCCAGAGCTCTGGGAACTAATTTCCAAGTCAGATACCCAACAACTAGCTGGCTTCCAACACAGGACATCTTACAGAAACAGTGAAAAAAGGGTCATCGAGTGGTTTGGCTACTAACCTGGGACTGAAGACAAGAGTTCAGTTACCTGCTCCACAGACTGTGTGGCCTTGTTCAGGTTACTTAGTGTCTCAGATCCCCTTCTATGCAACAGGGATAACAGCACTGCCCTACCCCTCAACATAGCTGCGAGGGCAAATCCTCTGGATTATGAGCTGCTCAGCTACTATGGTGAAGGCCATATGAGCACAGAATACAGGTCTCCTCCCAAAAAAACAGAGGCTGCCCCAGAAGAGTTTAGAAAAGCTAATGTGACAAGGACAGAATTCTCCATCAAGTGTGGAGGCTGTGTCTAATCAACGGGGTGATCCACCCCTCAGATAGTGAGGTAAAATGGGGGACCTTAAGGCAAAAGCAAAAAAGTCCAGAAGCTTTCACGCTAAAGGATTAGGCCAACTGGAGATGTTCTCCTTCAGAAAGAACAGCCAAAGTATATGAAATAACTAAGGCCAGTGTGGAAGGCTCCCCAGTGTCTGTCATGTAAGGAAGGGGGAGGGGAAAAAAAAATATCAAGTAACTGGCTATTTCTCTAGCCCAAACTTAATCTGGTTCACAAAGTGGAGCTGAACTGAGGAACCTCCTCTGACACTGCTACCCTGCTTTTTTTTTTAATCAATGAAATACTCCAAAGATTAAAGAGCAAATATTGTAAGCAGCTGTTTGAGGTCTCTATGAAAAGCATGGATGTTACTCCAACTTCAGAAGACAGAGCTGTTAGCAAAGAGGGAAAGGAAACTTTCCTTTCCTTTCCCTTGCTGCAGTACAGCAATATAAGTTTAAACAGTGCAGTTAAGGTTTCACTTGCCACTGAATCAGCTGGTACTGGCCACTGTTGGAGACAGGATGTGAGACTAGATGTATCCCTGCCTTGCTTGAGCAATTTTACCTAGTGTACCTGTTGGGCCAGCCCAACCTTTCTTTACAGAATCAGGAACAGGAAGAAAGTCACCAAAGGAGGAAAAAAAACGTAAATTACAGAACATGGGGATACCAGAGTTGTTCAAGAGGCTACTAGAAAACAAGCAGCCCTGTCCTTCACGTCAGGTGTGGGAACTCTGTAACTGGCATTTTGTAGCATCTTTCATCACAAAGCATCTTATAAATTAGCCAACCAACTCTATACAGAACCAATTCTCCAGCTTTCCCATCCATGTCAACCTCTGGAAAAGACCCAAGTCCACCTTCCCAAAGCCAGGTACCTACAAGGAAGAGCTCTCAGAGCCAAAAACTGTTCTCAGGCCAAAATTTGAGATCGATGGTATACAGAGATCCTGGTAAGAGCCTCACAGCTGCCATTTCACACCTTACAAGGCATAAGAGAAAGTAAGGGATGAGGTTACCAATTAAACCACAGAGGGTTTTGGGGAGGCTGAACAGTTTTTCTCCAGTCAGAATAGGCTGGCATGCTCTGGTTAATGCCCACTCTCTTCTAAAAAAAGGCTGGACAATCTTTAACATCAAATCAGGACCTCAGTTTTACCTCTCATTGGAAAGATGGCACATTGAAAAGCACAGCCTCCCCTAGTACCAGAAGCAGAATTAATGCTACTCCCTACAGCACCTCAGGCGTTCCGTGGTAGGGCTCTCCTATCCAGGAACTGAACCTGCTTTCCCTGTAAGATCTGTTTGGCTCCTAGCACAAGCTAGAAAGTTCTCTGCTACATTGTTAAGCAGCTCTGTCACTGGCATTGACACTTGCTGCCTTGACACAGCCACGCTGAGAAAGTCTAAGACTTGGGGATTACGGAAAAGAGAAGTCCTTAGGGGCTGGATGGCTTTTTATTGGCCTTATAGTCCCCTCCCTCCTCAAGAGGAGCTATTGGACCCCCACTCCCCATTCTCTCATAGAAGTCTGGTTCTTCATCTCCCAGCCCAGCCAAGGGATCTCCTTTTCTCTGGATATTTTACCCCTAAAAACCCTGTTGGTATCCCTTGGTTTTTACGAAATAATGTCACAAGTTATTATTTGGCTGTGCTGTTCCACCAACGATTTTCACTGAATGATAAATGGGGGTCTAAGCACAACTGCCAATCAGGACAAAGTTGGCATCAGTTCCATGGTTACTTAAAATCTCTCCCTGCTACCCAAGTGAGAGACTACTGACCTATGCCAACTGAGTACTCTTCAGTGATCAGTAAATGGGAAATGGCCCAACTGAAATGTTGTTGGTTGGAGCCTTCTGGATAAGTCAGCAAAGTATCAATGCTGAACACCCTCCAACAGGCTTGGAAAATGGTCTCAGTCTGGTGTAGGGGTATATGGCTACACCATACCTGCTTCAGAGCACATTTCTCAGGGCACGCTTGGGCCCGTGAGTCAGTAGGGCCTGCCCTTTCCCAACAACATGATGCAGAGCACTGTTTCCAGGACTGAGTCCCAGAAAGTGTTATTGGTTCAGACCCCTGACAGCTTTCTCCTTTGCACTAAGTATCAATTATTAAAAAAAATTAAAAATGAATGTTATTTTCACATATCACCTCCATCATCTAATTCAACCTTTATCTTCCATTCATAAAAATCTTGCTGCTGACCATTTCCTGGTTAAAAATACATCGTTCTAAAAGGGCATTGGAATAACTTTGCACAGTTCTGTGTGCCAACTTTGTTTCAAATTGGGATAGTATCTAAAAATAAATCATCACCAAAGATGGTGCCCACACAGCTCCTGAAAGCTGGTCTGCCTGGCCCAGGTACCAGGCTACCATGTGAGAAAGGCATGGCACTGTTCCCCAGTGCAAGGAATCCCCATGTGCCAGGCACTGTCCCAGGTAGGAAGTTGGTGGTAAAACCCACATTGATTGTATTGATGTACATTGGTTTTCAGTCAGTTTGGGAATGATCCTCATTCTCTGAATGGCTAGAGTTAGAGTGAGCAGAGGGGCAGAGAGGTTCTTGATGTGTCTAGCATTAGTGGCAGTGCTCAGTGATATCCACAACCACAGCTTTTTTCCAACTGAAGAAAAAGTAGCCAGTTCCTGCTCCTGCTGCCACAGCTATGCAGAGGTATCCGTTGTAGGTCATGAATATCAACATGAGAAAATAACTGACCACCACCTGGATGATGTGTAGCACGGTTTGCAGCAGGTGAGGGAAGCTCAGCATCTGTTGTCTGAAGAATCACAGAAAGGGAGAGCAGTCAGCAACCAAGAGCTATAGGATAGGGAATGCAGGGTCCCTGCCAGAGAGAAGGTAGCCCATAGAGTGGGCATGAAGAGAGGTGGGGAAAAAAAAAAGATACAGATTCCACCCTCTCCCACAAATGGACAACTGCAGCTTCTCCCAGGAAATCAGCTACACAAAAGTATTCATCAGCAGGGATCCTGGTTTTCCCTGACCAAAAAATAAAAATAATTAAATTGCAAATTCTCTGATAAAACCCACACAATCTGTGATTAACATGAAAGCCCTCCCCCACCACCGCGCACAGCTCTGCTGGTGCCCCTTGCCCTCCACTTACAGCCCCTGCTCCCCCAGCCCTGCCGGAGGGGAACCCCAGCTGCCAGGGCTATGGGGCCAGGGACACAGCCCCCGCCCTAGCAGGAGGCAGCAACGGTGGTTGCTGCAGCAAAGTCCAACTCCCCCACTGCTGATTGCTGCAGGCTTGGGTGGGGCGGGGAAGCTCCCCGTCACTGTGTGCACTCCCAGGGGGACCCATGCTCCCCATACCTGTGGGCAAAGCAGGTGCAGGTGTGCACTGCAGGCTCAGGTTCCTGCCTTGCTGCCCTCCCCACAAGCCTTCACAGCCTAGTGGGAGCAACCTAGTGCTGCAGGGCAGAAAAGGGCTATGCAGGAAAGCTGGTTGCAGCTGCGAGGTTCACACCATCCTGGGAACGCGTCCTCTGCGCACATGGCAGCAGCGAAGGGCACAACCCTGCACTGTTGCCCCCACTCCTGCCACACACACAGGGATGCCTCACCAGGTCAGCACAGAGCTCACAGCAGCAAGCAGACCCCCACACAGCCCTGCCACAATGGAATGGATTGCACACAATGGGCTAGAGGCCCCAGGGAAGGGCAGCAGGGCAGGGAGCCCAAGCCTGCAGCAGGCAGCCTACCCCCACCTCGCACACAGATCTGGGGTGCACGTGCCCACCCTATCCCTCCAGGAGTGAGCGCAGTGGTGAGGAGCCAGCCCCACTCCCCACCCCCAAACAAGACACCCACAGCCTCATCCCAGGGCCCTGCGGCCACACGTTGTGGCCCCAAGCCCCACACACTGCCTGGCTGGGCAGCAGCCCCAGCCCTGGCCCTGCCCAACTCCCTCCCTATGGGGGGGGGTCTCAATCCTCCCTGACACTTACCTGTGGGAGCTGCTCTCCAGGCTGCCTGGCGGCCATGTGCATACAGATGCACAAGGTGCTCCCTGCCTGACCACCCTCCTCCCACTACCTGCAGGGGGCTTGATGCAAAACTGAAAAATCCACGGGTTTCTCTGCTAAAATGAGAAGTTCGCGTTTTAGTCCAGTAAGGGGCAAAATCCACATTTTACTCCGTTTTTCTGTGGGAAACCTGGATCCCTGCTCATCAGGTAGGAATAACAGTGCTGGGAGATCAGAACTGCTACATTTTGAGTTAAATCCTCCTGGTTCTATTTTGCATCCTGGCCTACGCTTCCAGCTGAACAGGGCAGCTTTTATTGTTTGAAAACAGAGGCCTAGACTACCTGAAAGGATCCCCCAGCCTTCTCTTGCTGCAGAAAGAGCAAGTCTGGTGGCCCAGACAATTTCTGAGCCTGGTAATTACATGCACACTTCCCTCTTTCAATTCCTTTCGGTTATTCCCCTGCCCGTTTCCCCCTGCCCCTCTCTCCAACACACACACTCTTATAAAGCCCTCATGATTGGTACAGAGTGACTCCTCCATTCCCTCTTCCCCAACCCTAACAGGATAACTGGGTAATCCCTGAAGGTACAGGTTCTTTAGTGTCCTTCAGAAAGATGTGCACTACGTAAGCCTTCAAGAGGAAATTGTGTCCACATGGAATTTTCTGTCTTAGTCTTTTCCATACTTGTTTGCTGAGAAGCATGCTATTTGTCTTAGAAAGAAGGCAGATTCTTACCCAACTGTTTTGTGGGTCTCCATCAAGATGGTGCCATTTGGTCCTGGGACAGGCATGGAATTGTAGCGAATGCTGACCTGCGACTTACGAAGCAGGCACTCTCGAGCTATCTTGAGACCCTCATAAAACATGGCTAGGAAGAAGACAGCCACAAAAGCACCAGCCATTTCTGACAGTGGAGAAAGAATGAAGTCAAGTTATCAAATCTGTGCATAAGTCATTTGTTTTGTTTGCTTGAGAAAGACACCTTCCAATCCAATGGACAGCTCCCGTTGCATAGACAAGAGGCTGCCTGTGCGTGTAAGGGTTTGATTAATTCTAAAACAACATGGAACCTGACATACAACACCCCCCAAGTATTAGCACCCCATTTCTTATCAAGGCTGATGCAATAACAGAACATGAAAGTCTCTCCACTTTCACCCTCTTTGCTCTAACTTAAAATACACTAAGTAGTCCGTGTCTGGCTACTGGAAGAACCTTCAACCATATGAAATGGGGTTACTTTTGCTTTGGTTGGGGCAAGAGCAACAAGTCAGCCTCTTATCTGAGACCGCACTACTGACCTCCAGGTGTATTGATCACAAGTCCAGAAAACAGGAGAGGCACATTCTTATAGCTGAAGTGGAAAGTCATATCCTGTCCAAGACAGAAAGGTCATTTAAAACATAAACAAGGATCTCTGAGCAAAAAAGGGGAAGAGGCAAGGCTTAAATACACACCCTACAACGAGACTTACAAAATTTTAAGCAAAGGACTGTTACATGATGTTGGTATGGCTAAAGCCAAGCTCAGAGCAAGCTTCTTCTGCTCAGTCACCAAGTACAGAGTTGAAACACTATAGCAAGCCTAGTGTAACAAGGATAATTTCCTTTTGACACAAATTCATTTCAGATCACTACAAATCCACCCGGTGTCCTGAGGGATGAGAAAAGCAGAATGAGTATGAGGCCATCTGATGATAACGTGAAGTGGCATTCACAAGGAAACGGCATGGGTGACTAGTCAGCAGGAAGCAAAAGAATGTGACATGCAGATGCCGAATAGTGCCCATTTAGAGAGAATAGAAACTGAAGCCATTTCACAACTAAACTATATTCAAATTCCTTTAAGCATCTCAAGAGAAAAGTCACAGCTGTAACAGGATTTTAAAAATACTGGGCACATTTTCTGTTCAAAGTTAAGACAAAGATGGGCCCTTTCATTGGACACTTAGTCTTTGTTGTGCAGCCACTGTCCAATCCAAGCCTATATATGCACTAAGAACTATTTTCTGTTGATTTAATGGAAGGAGGGGGAAAGAAAATTTGTAAACCTTGAGCCAAAAATGGCTGCTGGTGACCCACAAAGCAGACTGCAGTTGACCTGTACATTTCAGAGCTCTGAATTTATTAGGTTACCTTCCTTCCCAACTAGCTCACAGCCCAGAGCTTTTAGTAGCAACATATCGTAACTAAAAGGTTTCCTACTGGGTCAACACAGCGAGCACTGATCTACCAAAGCTTTAGAACCCGTTTCCAAGGAGCCCAGCTATTGTTGTCCTGTTTACATGCAATCCAGATAAGTCTCCCTAACTAGTTCACACACATTATACACTTAAGTCTTTTAAGAGACTAGAGACAGTTTACCAATTTTGCATGGAATCTATAATAAACCAATCTGGTTCCTTCCTCCCCTCTCCCGAGCTTCTTTAAGGTGCTTAACTTCAACTGGCCAATGGACACAAGACACAGCCTGTCAATCTTCCTACCACAAAGCCTGGATGCTTTAAAGGAGAAGGTCCTACAACCATCTGTTGGCAGAAGGCCTGCCTTTTCTTCCCATTGACAAAGTGGCACAGGGAAAGATGCCCAAATTAGCACCTACCAAGAAACTACATATTCGGTATGATGATGTCTATGTTCAGGGCACTGGTCCTTTAGGAATGTGGCTGAGGACAGTGGCAGGGTACTTTGAATTCAGCATAACTTAGATCCTTTCCAAATTCATTTCAGTATGTGTTTCTTACAGAGGAGGTTAACATTTTCAATAACAGTTCAAATGAATCCTAGCTCTTCCCTTTCCTACAGGAAAATCCAAAGAAAGAAAGGACACAGGTTCTTTGGTTCAAATGAGTGCAGAGGAGATACTGCAGCAAGCAGCTTGCACAGCCTTTCCAGAATCCTTCTGGCTATCACACAAGCCTGCTGCTTCCAAACAGTGCTGATGCCAGCAGGAAGGCTCCCTGACTTTTGGCAAGGAAAGCCCATTTTGCAATGGAGCAATGGGCTCACACATAAAACACATTTCATACTGCAAGTTATTCTTTGGGAAAGCTACCTGTCACCTCTCCAAATTAAAGGATTTTCAGTTATGTCAAACAGCTGCCAGAGAAATTAAAAAGGTACATTTGTGGCTAGCAGAATTTGAAAGGATTCTTGTAGACAGACACCACTTGGGAAGTGACCTAAGCTACTGAGAATGGATGGTTTCAGGGTTCCCAAGTTATATTCTCCCTGCATTAAACATTAATAAAGAAGTCTTATAAAACTCTTTTTTTACTTCATTGTAAAAGCCCCAAATGTTCAGGGAGGTAAAGGGTTTTGGGAATATAGTTTAAACTAAGCTCTGGACAATGTCTAACTTTCTGGACTTCACTCACCATCATCATCATCATCATTCCTCCTTCATGATTGTGTTCTGGTGACATCGTAGGGTGATAATGTTCTGGCGGATGCACAGAGGATGGCATGGTGCTGCTCATTGTATGGTTCATGTGAACTGTGTGGTGACTGTGAGACATCTTCACTGCAGAGGTATCAAAAATGGCATGCAGGATAATGGGAGCCTTAGAGAAAGAAGGAAAAGTGGACATTAGGGCAAGGGTCACAAAAACCACTTTCACAAACAGGAGACAGTTTCTACAGCACACAGTGAAGTCTGGCTCCCAGCATCCCTCCTACCAGAGAGGCTGCATCCTGGAGAGCCCTGTCCTATAGCTATAGATTGCTGTCTGGGATCCTCCTTCATACTCGCTACATGGAGCTCAGAGCAAATGCAGCATTCAGAAGTTCTCTTTGGGTTAATCAATGTGTTCTCTTTGGGTTACTATTTCTGTACTGCACAAGTGGATGCAAAGCACAAATGATCCTTACCCTAAAGCTTTCAATCTGACTTACAGGTGCAATTTTAAGCCATTGAGTGAAAAGTCCTCTCACAAGTCTAGACATCCAAAAGGTAAAAACTTGTCTTTTGTTGCTTCACAGTCTAATTGCTCCCAAACCCCATCTTAATTGCATCTACCCAAGGATCAGACTCGGGATATTTCTCCTAATGTGCAGCTCTGTATTTAATTATGATCAGCTCTATCTAAAAAAGAAATCAGATTAGCATGATGCAGAGCTACAGCTGGTGGAAAGGTCTAGAGGAGCCCCTGGCAATCTAGTCTGGTTTCTATTAACTTTAAGTCTTTACATCTCCCCTCTAACTGCATTAGACATGAGAGGAAAGCAAACATGTCTGCAGGTCTAAACTAATTTAATCAGATTACTGCAAATCGATTATATTAAGGCAAGTTCAAAGGCAGAATAAATACTCCCTGAAAAGTTACCTGTGTAGCATAAACTTTTCATCCCATCAGAACCCATGATGAAATTAATAGGCAACTTTGATAGCTTACTGTTGGAGAATGATTAATGAGAAGGACCTAGGAGTATTAGTCAATTATGGACTATGAGTTGCCAATGTGGTGCCACCATAAAAAATGCAAATATAAACCCTGGGATGCATCACACAAGGCAATTACACAGATGCAGGAAAGTACTGATGTCATTGTACAAGGCACTGGCACTGCTGTGTGTGGAGAACTGTACAGCTCTGGTCATCTATATTCAAAGAAAGAGAAAAGTTCAAACTGAAATAGGTGCACTGAAGAGCTGCAAGGCTGAACAGGGGCTTATCTTATGGGCTTACTTGATGAGGAATGATTCAAAGAGCTCGGCTAGTTCAGCTAATGACAGGTTTGCTTGCTATAAATACTGGGAGGAGAGGAAGAGAGAGAAAGAATACCTGGTTGGGAATCAAGCTATTTAAAGCTAAAAGACAATGTGGGCACACAGCAAATGGGAACAAACTGCCTGTGGATAAATGTAGACTGGAAATTTGAAAACAATTCCTGACTCTCAGAGCAGTGAGATTTGGGATCATCCTGCAGGTAGGAGCAGCAGAGGGCAAAATTCCTCATTACTTTTAAGATGGAGCTTGATCAATACATGAACAAAGTACATCAGGGTATCAAGTATTCCTAGGAGATGCCTGTTCCACCAGGCAAGCTTTAAAATCTTCAGAGAATTAAACAGGCAGAAAGGAATTAAAGGTTCTGGGAAGATTTAAAAGGAAATGGAAGAAATCAGTGAGGCAAAAGCATACAAGGAAGCTAGGTCTCCTTCCAAGAATGAAGAGGTGCAGCATGTATGCGGGGAAAAGGGGTGCACTGCTGAGCAAACTCTGAAGTTGATGAAATAATTAAGGGCTTGTCTCTACAGAGAAGTCAGAGTGCAGGGAGAAGGGGCACTCTGACAGCATGCTCGTGGGCAAAAGCTCTGTGAGGACACTCAGCACACAGCACTTTACTCCACTACGAAAGAGAGCAGTAGCTTTCTTTACAGCGATTCCACCCTATAGACAAGCAGTGGCTAGGAGAGCAATTATTCTCTTTCCATGTTCCCAGGGAAAACTTTTTATGCCCAAGCATTTTGCTTAAGGAGTGCAGGGGCCAAGCAGGAATGATCAGAACCAGAGTGAATTAGTGAAAGAGTAAGTTATTGCAAACAGCCAGACCAGGCCTCGTGGTCACCCCGCAGAGTGAACATTTTGCAGGTTTTGTTTGTTCAAAGCATTTGAACAATCACATGTTGCATCCTCTCCGTGCACGTACTACTTCTAAAGAGATCCAAACCTTCAGAGCTAGAACTGAGGACTTAAGTTCTCACACTGCCAAAAGAAACACTCAGCCAACATACCTCAAATCTCCACCTATTCATCTGAACAACTAAACAGCCTTGTAGATTATATAATCAGATGGGCTGCCTGGGCACAGCAGGACAATCTGGGCCATTGGATAGTATCACAGTGCTATGTATATCGCTTGGAGCGGGGAAGAGGAGGTCAGGAAACTTGGAGTCTCTTCTTTGATCCAAGGACAAGCTAAATAACTTTGGAACAGAGGACGGCTTTGCAGGTTATCCTAAATTCTACTCACATGCACAAACACACACACAAGTAGTTGCAAAGGGATGGGGAGTGCTTAATACGTGCACCAGAAACCATTGGCAAGGCCAGGAGTGAGCTCAGAGCTTCAGAGAGAATGGAGCAATATTTCCAGAGTATGGGGATTTAGGGCCATTTATCCTCCTCTCCTTACATTACTGAGGAACATAAGGAAAAATCCACTAAATGCCATACCTTCCTCCTGTTGATGGATATAATGGCTCTTGTCTGGACACAACAGACCCTCCAGAGATAGCACTGTGCAAATCAAAAGTCATTTCTTTAAGGGCTCGTCTTGTTACTCATCTCCACTCTCATCATCTTATTTATAAGCAAGTGAAACAGCAAATTCCCCAGTGGACTCCAAGGAGTCTCTGGCACATCTCCGTTTGCAGGGTAGGAATTCCACTTGGAAAGCTGCGAGTACGATTCAGATTTATAAGCACACACAAAAATGTAGTCTCCCTAGCAATGCAAGTGAAATATTCTCAGGTTCGAAGATGAAAGGAAGGGGGGATGGGGCGCAGTTTTTTGTGCTGTTCTGGTTTAGGACTAAGCTGGCAAGATTGAACCTGGTAATGCTCACAAAAGCCGCACTTCTATGCCCAAAAAACAAAGCCCCAAGAATCATCATTCCCAATACCAACCCCCACATACCAAACCCAAATTTTCTCTACTGCAGTTGGCAAATGTAGAAAGATATTTCATGAGTGCCTTATAAAGGTGTTTATCATAAGTGGAAATTGCCTTTTAATTAGCAACCGAAGAGGCAGCTCACGCAAAGAGAGTCAATACACAGGAAAATCAGCACTTAAAAATGCTGCCCCCTCCTTCCGACACCACAGTCGGAAACTTGGCCTTAGATGCAAGTACTGACCAGGGAAAGATTTGCGTTCTAACGGTGTGTTCCTGCTCCCCAGCCTGTGCCTGAAGCAGGGCATTTGAGGCAGCAGCACTAGTAAATGAATGGGGCTTCATCTCTGAAACGGCTGTTTTACAAGTCTTACAGCCAGCAAAAGCAAGCCTGAGCAACAGGCTGCCAGCCTGCAGGGAGCTGTGTAGCCTGAAGCCAGGGTCATGGATTTTAATAACAGACCAGTGTCTACAACTACAAAAAACACACTGCTTTGTATTATGGCAAAAGCTTTAAATAGGTCCAGTGTACACCTAGCACTTAGGCTGCAGGTATTTTTGGCTGAATGGGCACTTTGCTCTCCAGACTGCATTGCAGCCCACTCTGCACTTAAACTCAGTGAGGAAAGGAGAGAAATTCCTACATGACCTACCTGGGCAGCCCTCCAGCTGGCACTTGTACACCCGGATAGGCTCACCTCCACATACATGGCATCTCCAGCAGGCACGTCCCCGCAAAGTTTCATCTACACAGTAACTTACCAAGTCAAGAAGCAAAATATGGAAGGGGCTAGAATGGATAAAGAGGGAACATCCCTTCTATTGGGGAATGCTTCAAGGGTCACTTCCAGGCGTAGCTCTCTCTACAGCAGCTGTTGTCTTTATTTTCAATAAATCAATAAAAAAAATAGAAGGGAGGACCATGACATAAAAACATGGGTAGGCCAGTGTGTTTGAAGATGCCAACACACTCCTTGACCATCCCTGGACTTCTTTCAAGGCGGTCTTTTTCAAGGGGATGCAAGCCAAACCCCAGCCACACAGCAAGGGACTCAGAGACTTCGTTCTTCCCAAGGGAGTTACAAGGGTTCATTCACATGAGCAAAGCACTTTAAAAAAAACACCCTTGATATACTCTATATAATTTACTGCGGTTTATCTCTGGAGGTAGCTAGCACAAATCACTGCCCGACAATTGGGCCCATTGTTTAGTCATCTCCTTGGCCTAAGCTCTCCCGTGGCAGCCAAAATCCTTGGCCAAGATACACTCCAGTTCTTCTGGAAAGCTTGAACTGGGCAAGCTACCCACGCCAAAGAGGAAGCGTTATTTTGTTTGGTCTAAGGTGCCAGCTGATCCAAGTGAAGCCCCCCTCATATTCATAAGGGAGAAACATGCTCTTGCAGCAGCATATGACAGTACAATAAAACCCCATTTAAACAAATACCTGTAGAAGTGATATACAAATGCTCAACTCCCACAGCACTTAAGAAAGCAACACAATAGAGTGCTCTACCCTTTCACATTCCAGCAATTAAAAGGAATAAAACACAACAAAACAACACAACCACTTCCATTGCTACTGCCCAGCAAAAGGGGAATGTCACAAAACACTGATCAGGTTTCTGTTATATTATGGTTATTTCCTCTGCATCCAGAGAAGCATTTATATGTTCAAGGTCTCTGACGCTATGAGCCATGTTGGGCTGGGGGCCAGTACCACGCTGAAGCCCCCAAATCATTCTGTTTCACAATACAGGTGGCGCCTTGCTTCTGATTTGGGAGGCAACTGTATAATAAACAGACCTCCCAGCAGGTCTGTTTAGGTAGCAAAGACCACTTTTTAGAGATCTACAGCCTGAAGGCAGCTATTCCCTATCCTTCCCTGAGCAGGCAGTGAAGAAAGTTTTGCATAAGCTGCAAGAGAAGTCAATAAAGAGAAAAGAAAC